ATGGAAGGCTCACATCTAGCCAGGGATATCATACTGAGCACATGGAAAGCTCACATCTAGCCAGGGATATCATACTGAGCACATGGAATGCTCACATCTAGCCAGGGATACCATACTGAGCACATGGAATGCTCACATCCGGCCAGGGATATCATACTGAGCACATGGAATGCTCACATCTAGCCAGGGATACCATACTGAGCACATGGAATGCTCACATCTAGCCAGGGATATCATACTGAGCACATGGAATGCTCACATCTAGCCAGGGATATCATACTGAGCACATGGAATGCTCACATCTAGCCAGGGATATCATACTGAGCACATGGAATGCTCACATCCAGCCAGGGATATCATACTGAGCACATGGAATGCTCACATCCAACCAGGGATACCATACTGAGCACATGGAATGCTCACATCCAACCAGGGATACCATACTGAGCACATGGAATGCTCACATCTAGCCAGGGATATCATACTGAGCACATGGAATGCTCCCATCCTGCCAGGGATATCATACTGAGCACATGGAATGCTCACATCCAGCCAGGGATATCATACTGAGCACATGGAATGCTCACATCCGGCCAGGGATATCATACTGAGCACATGGAATGCTCACATCCAGCCAGGGATATCATACTGAGCACATGGAATGCTCACATCTAACCAGGGATATCATACTGAGCACATGGAATGCTCACATCCGGCCAGGGATACCATACTGAGCACATGGAATGCTCACATCCGGCCAGGGATACCATACTGAGCACATGGAATACTCACATCTAACCAGGTATGGAATGCTCACATCTAACCAGGGATACCATGCTGAGCACATGGAATGCTCCCATCCTGCCAGGGATATCATTAGTACAGTACTATCTGTACATTGTTTACCAAAAAAAATAATTTTTACAATAATGATAGACATTTTTATTTCATACATTTGTGATGATTCTTTTTTCCCTCTATATTCAAGTGACACTATAGTCACCAGAACCACAACGGCTAAACGTAGTAGTTTTGGTGTTAATAGCATGTCTCTGCAGGCTTTTTAATGTAAGCGCACTGCCTTTTCAGAAAAAGGCAGTATTTACATTACTGCAGAGGAATACCTTATCAGACAGCCACTAGAGGTGCTTCCTAATCCAGTGTTGCACAACGTGCAGCACTAGCATTCACGCTGAACATTAATTCAACGCATCTCTGTGAGGAGATGCTGATTGGTGCAGCGCAGTGTTTTGCCACGCATTGGGTTGGCTGATATATATTCAAACACTGTACATTCCTGTGCATTGTATTGATGAGGTGATCTGTAATACACTCACAAACTGCACGTTCCTGTGAGTTATTTTGCTGTAGAGCTTGTGATACACTCACACACTGCACTTTCCCATGCATTTTATTGCTGAGGTGTTCTGTGATGTACTTGCACCTCACACATTACTGTCAGTTGTATTGTAGCCCCATGTAGCCAAGCGCAGCTAAGCGGAAAAAGGCCTTGACAGGGGTTAGGAGGCGGGCCTAGGAGGAAGTAAGCAAGGGAGTGGAGTTATGGGTAAGTGGGTTTGGTTATTTAAATGGGCAGCCATTTTAGTTAATTCATTCTAACTTCCTACCTGGTTAAGTTTGTGTTCGCTCCTGTGGGCACAGATTTGGCTTGGTAGGGCTTTTCTTTTTTGTCTCCCTGCAGGGCCGATGGAGGAAGTGGAGCGACTGCTGGAGCGGATCCGGTCGGCGGCGAGGCACCAGGGGGCTGACTGGCTGAAGGCCCAGTTAGGCCCGGCCCTGGCGGCGGCGGCGGACCAGGACGGCGGCGGACGACGGCCTGTTCGGGCCAGGAGGCCTCCGGAGCGGCTAAGCCCGGGTGTGGGACCCGGTGAAGACATCCCTGGTGGTCCGGGAGGCTCCGGTGCGGGCGGCAGCAGGCCTGGCAGCCGCGTGGTAGAGGCCCCGCCTCCCCGCGAGCGGCCGGAGCCTAGGACTAGTGCCCGGCGCCGGGGGGACGGTCGGGACGGGGCCGTCGCGGCTGCCGGGTCGGACGTGGCCGGGCGGTCCCCTGGAGGAGCGGGCAGCATGGAGCTGCGGCCCGGGAGGGCGCACGCCCCGTCGGAGGCGGAGATCGGCGGGGCCGGGACCGGGAGGACACGTGGCCGGTTCCCGGCCCCAAAGGCAAGTGCAGGGGGCTCCGGCCGGGGCCCCCTTGGCGGGAAAAGTGCTGGGGGGGTCCTGACAGGAAGCGGAGGGCGGAGGGCCCAAGTTGGGGGTGGGAAGGCCTCCCAGGGACCGGGGGTGGTGGATGGGGAGGGCATAGGGGTCATAGGTGGGGGGAGTAGTGGTAGGGGTGGGGGGGCTGTGGGTGAGGAGGGACTGCTGGGCTCCCCTGGTAGGGGAAAGGGGGCCTCCTTGGATGCTGGGGCTAGGCCGGGGCGGGTAGGGTCGGGTAGGCCTGGTTTAGGGGTTGGGGGGGCCAGTCTAGTTGAGGGGGGTCTAGGTCCCCTTAGTCTGGGAGCCAGTTCAGGTGGGGGGTCAGGCTCTAGCCGGAGGGGTGAGCGTTTGGGGGTGCAGGGTAGTAGGCGGGGGGGGTCCGGTTCAGGGTCCGGTAGTGGTAGTCCCTCTCCGGTTCGGGAAGTGGAGCCACGGGGGAGGAGGGGGAGGTCCCGGCAGCGCCGCTCCAGGTCAGGGAGCTCAGGAGAGAGCGGGTCTAGCGTTCCCAGGGGTGGTCGGCGGGGACGTATGCCCGGAGAAGACAGGAGGAGCCGTAGCCCTAGGGGCTCCCGCGCGCGGCGCGTGCAGGGGGCAGCGGGAGGCTTTGGCAATGGGCAGGCGCTCCCAGGGTCGGGACGGGGGGGATGCGAATACTCAGTGCACCCTACCCAGGACTTCTTCTCCTCTTTCCAGGTCACGGAGCTGTTCCATATCGGCACGGGCAAGGCACCGGTTTGGCTCCCCGGTTGGCGAGGTATCGGCGGGAGTCGCTCTCCCTGGACATCGGGCAGTCGACGACGCAGCCCCTGCCGCGTCAGTTGCAGGGGGCTTGGCCGGTGAGTCTTGTGGGTCACTACACTCCAGTTCCTTAGTTAGCACACTGCAAGCACTGCTCCACTCGCTGGGGGCGGGGGGTGACACGGAGGTCCCTGGTCCTAGTGGGGTTTCCGTGGGGCTTAGTTCGGGCGGGGACGTGGGGGTGGCGCTCGAGGCGATTAGGCGGCCGGGGGTGACAAGGCGGAACTGGCTGGGGGTATTCCGGATGCAGCGAGGCAGCACGCATACGTCTCGTTTGCGGGCCCCCTGGGGGTTCATCTGAAACAGGACGTGAAAGAGAAGCTCTGGAAAGGTGAGTTCTGCGAGATCTTCTCCCTGCTCCCCTTGGAGGACTTTATTGACCTCAAGGAGGAGGATAAAAAGGATGAAAAGAAGGAGGAGGAGGAGAAGAGGAAGCGGTATCGCAAGATTCCGAAATCCTTTGGCAACTGGTTACGGGCGTTTTGCGTGCTAGCCAGCGTGCTCGGGGAAAAATCGCCGGGATTATGCTCGTCCCTGTTCTGCTACCTGGACGGCATTTGGGAAGCATATCGCACCTATGGGGGGCTGGCATGGTGGCGATACGATGAACAGTTTAGGCAGCGACTGGCGGCTAACCCGGGGATGAGGTGGGATCAGATGGATCTGCCCCTCTGGATGAAGCTAATGATGGCCCAGAAGGCGCAGCCCTTTCCAAACTCGGCCGGCGCGAAGGGGCAGTCCGCCTCGTCGGCCGCTTTGCAAAAGGGCTTCTGCTGGCTCTACAATGAGGGCCAGTGCAAATGGGGAAACGCGTGTCGATTTAAGCATGAGTGCTCCGGTTGCGGGGGTGCTCATGGGCTCAATCGCTGTTTCAAAAAAGGGAAGGCAGGAACAGCCGGAGCGGCTGCCGGGGCCGGAGGGAATGCTTCCCCTGCCCCGGGGCTTCACGCCGGTGAGGCTAGACGCGATGGAGCCGTGGCTAAGCCGCTACGGTAACAGGACTGATGCCTCGGTACTTAGGGAAGGCTTCGGGCGGGGTTTCTTTATTCCCTTCCGGGAGCGGGGGGGTTCGGGGGGGTTGCGCAACCTGAAGTCGGTGGCGGATTTCCCGGGGTGGTACGGGAGAAACTAGACAAGGAGGTTGCGCTGGGGCGGATGGCGGGCCCGTTTGCGGTGCCCCCATTGGAGGACCTACGGGTTTCCCCTCTTGGGGTGGTGCCAAAGAAGGAGCCGGGGAAATTCCGGCTCATTCACCACCTCTCCTACCCAAAAGGGGAGTCGGTGAATGACGGTATTGATAAGGACCTATGCTCGGTCTCGTATGCATCATTCGACCGGGCGGTCGAGCTGGTTAAACGGGCCGGGCATGGGGCACTTATGGCAAAAGTGGATATTGAGGCGGCGTTTCGGCTGCTGCCAGTCCACCCGGACTGCCACCACCTGTTGGGATGTTTTTTCGAGGGAAAATATTTCGTGGACTTGTGCCTCCCTATGGGCTGTTCTATTTCATGCTCCTATTTCGAGAAATTTAGTACTTTTCTCGAATGGGTAGTGCGGGTCGAGGCGGGGAACCGTTCGGTGGTGCACTACCTGGACGATTTCTTTTGCGTGGGGCCGGCTGCCTCCTCGGCATGCCAGCAACTGCTTAGGACCGTGGAATGGGTGGCGGGCCACTTTGGGGTGCCGCTGGCAGCGGATAAGACGGAGGGCCCGACGACGTGCCTTAGTTTCTTGGGGTTAGAAATAGATTCTATCTTGGGTGAATGCCGACTGCCTCGGGACAAGTTGGAGGGGCTCAAGGGGGCGGTAGCTGCGGTGACCGTTGCGCGCAAAGTTACGCTGCGGCAACTGCAGTCGCTAATAGGGATGCTGAACTTTGCATGCCGTGTAATTCCTATGGGGAGGGTTTTCAGCCGCAGCCTGGCGGCTGCTACGGCAGGAGTTCGATCCCCGCATCATTTCATACGGGTGTCAGCAACCATGAGGGCTGATTTGGGCGTGTGGGATGCCTTCCTGCAGGATTTCAACGGGACGGTGTTTTTCAGGCGGGCGGGTAAGTCGGCGACGGAGTTGGAGCTCTTCACGGATGCTTCAGGTAGTGTGGGCTTCGGGGCCTACTTTGGCGGGAGATGGTGCGCGGAGCGGTGGCCGGAGGCATGGGGGTCTAGCCCGGTCATGCGCAACCTGGCTTATCTGGAATTATTCCCGTTGGTCGTTGCAATGGCACTATGGGGCGAGGGGCTCCGGGATCAGAAAGTGGTCTTTTTCTCGGACAACATGGCGGTGGTGCATGCGGTGAATAATCAATCGGCTGCCTCTAAGCCGGTGGTTAGGTTGCTGCGGCGCTTTGTGTTGATGTGTATGTCACGGAATGTTGTGTTTCGCGCGCGTCATGTCCCTGGGTACCTGAATGAGGTGGCTGACGCTCTGTCTCGTTTTCAGTGGTCCCGATTTTGGTCGATGGCGCCAGGAGCATTGAAGGAAGGGGAGGCTTGCCCGGACGAGATATGGCAGCTGGGAGCGTCCTGCTTGGGGGACTTGTGAAGGCTTCACTGGCACCGGCCACATGGGCCTCCTACAGTAAGGTCTGGGACTCTTGGGAACGATCATTAGACGGGTTGGAGCATGGCTTACGTGGGGATGCGCTGCGGGACGCTTTTCTGTGGTACACCTGCCAATTGCTGGCAAAGGGGGCGTCCCCGGCAGTGGTCGACAGGTCCATGGCGGCAATGGCGTTCTGGTTCCGATGGCGCGGGTCGGAGGATCTGACTAAGACCTTCCTAGTACGGCAAGCGCTGAAGGGTTATCGAAAGGGCCGCAGGACCTGTGACTCTAGGCGCCCGGTGTCGGTACGGGTATTGGGGGATCTGGTGGGTCGGTTGCCGGACATTTGTTTCAACGGGTTTGAGGTCTCTCTGTTCAGAGCGGCTTTTCTCTTGGCATTTTTCGGGGCGTTCCGCGTGGGGGAGCTGGTGAGTGCCAGTAGGGTGGTGCCCGGGGGTCTGCAGGCCTCAGGGGTTCGTGTTTTGGAGGGTAAGGTGGTTGTGCATCTGGGTAGTTCTAAGACGGACGTCCGTGGCGTGGGTAGGGACGTTACGCTATGGGCTCTGCCGGGCGCAGCATTGTGCCCGGTGGCTGCAGTGGCGGAGTATATGGCTCGGAGGCCGGCGGTAGGGGGTTCCTTCTTGGTACATGCGGATGGTTCTTCCCTGTCCCGGTTTCAGTTTACAAAGGTTTTTCGGGCCGGGCTAGGTAAGTTGGGGCTTCCGGCCGGACGTTTTGGTACTCACTCCTTTCGCATTGGGGCGGCCACGGAGGCCGCACGGTTGGGATTAGGAGATGAGGTCGTGAAGCGCATAGGGAGATGGGAGTCGGTGCGGTTCCGCTCATATGTGCGGTTGGGCTTATTGGAATAAAAAAAAAAAAAAAAGGTACATGTCTGGGTATGTATATGTTTATATATATGTATATGTATAGATATGGGGCGGGGGCGGACATGGACGGAGGAGTCCTCTTTTGCCTTTCCCTCATGCTTGTTTTCTTCTTCTCCCCAGGACGGGTTGCTTGGATTGTGGGACATTCTTTTGTCTTCTGGGCCGAGAGGAGGGCCGCAGCTCGAATGCAGGGCCAGCAGCTGGGCTTTCCGAAGGACCAGTTGACAGTCCGATGGTTTGGGTACAGGGGATTTTGCTGGGGGGAGGTTTGTGGGGCAATGTTTAGGATGGTGGTGGGCGGGAGGACACCGGACATGGTGGTCCTTCATGCTGGGGGTAACGACTTGGGCCTCACGCCACAACGTCGGTTGGTAAAGTGGATGAAGCAGGACATCAACAAATTGAGGGACCTGCTTCCGGGGGTTATGTTAGTGTGGTCGGAGATTGTCCCAAGGCGTCGATGGCGGCACGCGCGGGATCCGGTGGCGATTGATCACTGCAGGAAAAAGGTGAACAGCTTAATGGCGAGCTTTGTTAGGAAGATGGGAGGTGTGGTGGTACGGCACAGCGAGTTGGAGGAGGGGTTGCCGGGGTACTACCGCTCGGACGGGGTTCACCTTTCGGAGGTGGGTTGGGATCTGCTCAACTTGGGTTGGCAGGTTGGTATGCAGCGGGCGCTGTTTCTTCGGGGTGGCGGAGCTCAGACGGCTTAAGGGGTCAAGGTCTGAGCTTATGGCGGGACGGGGAGCTGAAGGAGAGGAAATAGGCTCCCCAGGATGAACGTAATGGAAGACAAACAAGTGGTGGTCATTGGTGGTTGATAGGTTTCGAGTCCTGTCGGTGGCTCAGAACCTGGTGGGGTAGGGGTATCCGGGTATACCCCTGCCGTGGTTAATGGATGGTTGGCACTTTACATCGATTGGAATAATGTTGATGTATGTTATATATATATGTTTATTTATATGGGGGTCATTGCCCTTTATATGTTAATGGAAGGAATAGGATGCGAGGGCGGAGTATGGGGGGCAATGACCCATGTTTACTTGTTAAGTTATTATTATTATTATTGTTATTATTATTGTTTGCTAAATAAAGCTGTGGACATATTTCCCCATATCCTCTAGTGTATGTGCGTTATTGGGTTGGGTTATGGGGTGGTTGTCCTGGATTCCGACTGCCCAAAATGGCGACTATACACCTGTCATGTAGCCCCATGTAGCCAAGCGCAGCTAAGCGGAAAAAGGCCTTGACAGGGGTTAGGAGGCGGGCCTAGGAGGAAGTAAGCAAGGGAGTGGAGTTATGGGTAAGTGGGTTTGGTTATTTAAATGGGCAGCCATTTTAGTTAATTCATTCCAACTTCCTACCTGGTTAAGTTTGTTCCACCCACCCTCCCTGTTTTGTTATGTGTGGGTTTTTGTCCCGTTTTTTCACAGCGGCGGGACGGGGAGCTGAAGGAGAGGAAATAGGCTCCCCAGGATGAACGTAATGGAAGACAAACAAGTGGTGGTCATTGGTGGTTGATAGGTTTCGAGTCCTGTCGGTGGCTCAGAACCTGGTGGGGTAGGGGTATCCGGGTATACCCCTGCCGTGGTTAATGGATGGTTGGCACTTTACATCGATTGGAATAATGTTGATGTATGTTATATATATATGTTTATTTATATGGGGGTCATTGCCCTTTATATGTTAATGGAAGGAATAGGATGCGAGGGCGGAGTATGGGGGGCAATGACCCATGTTTACTTGTTAAGTTATTATTATGATTATTATTGTTATTATTATTGTTTGCTAAATAAAGCTGTGGACATATTTCCCCATATCCTCTAGTATGTGCGTTATTGGGTTGGGTTATGGGGTGGTTGTCCTGGATTCCGACTGCCCAAAATGGCGACTATACACCTGTCATGCTGTGGAGCTATGCGATACACTGATATGCTTCACATTATATTATTTCACACACACTTAAAATTTAACATTATTATTATAATTATTTTATTATTTACATAGCGCCTTAGCGACCGAGGACGGTTCAGGACAGTTATCGGCATTTTTGCCTTGAGGACCGATGACAGTCCTGAACCGTCCTAACGGTCAGAGCTACTTACCTGATCGCCGTCGTTCCCCCGTCGGCGATCGGTGTTGCTCCGGTTGTGGGGAGACTGCCTGCAGCCCAGACAGTCTCCCCACACTGAATTAGGACCCCTGTGGCCATGTGATCGCTTAACACAGCGATCACATAGTCACAATAGGTGTCCATAGTGCTGCCTGCAGGGGGCTGCCTGTACTGACAGGCAGTCTCCCTGCTAGTGTAAAATCAGAAAAAAAAATAAAGTTAATGTTAATAAAAAAAACATTATAATTATATATGTGTATATATGATATATAGACATATAATATATCTATGTAATATATGTCTATATATCATATATATAATGTCATACTAAGTGTATTTTTATATTAATATGTACTTATATTAATATAAAAATACACTTATAATTAAATTACACACGTATATATATAATATATATAATAACTATATATATTGTATATATATATTATTATAAAATATAAATAATAAGTAATTTAAATTAAATAAAAAATTTTTAAAATAATAATAAAAAATTAAAAAAAATTATATAGCTATATGAAATTTTATTCTAACTGTATTTTAAAATTAATATATATATATTTATATCAAAATACACTTAGAATGAATTTGTATATATATCTATGTATATAAAAATAAATAAAAATAATAAGAAATATACATATGTCCATATACAAAATTACATAAATAATTATATAAATATACACGTAGACTTCAAATATATAAATATGCATATTTATTTAAATTCTACGTGCGTATTTATGTAATAGTTTTACATAATTCAGTAATTTTATTGATTGCAATTTAAGGGACCTGCCTGCCAACCCAGGCCGAAATTCCAGAGAATTGAATTTGCTAGCACTGTATTTTACCCTGTAACGTTCTACGACACCCTAAAACCTGTACATGGGGGGTACTGTTTTACTCGGGAGACTTCGCTGAACACAAATATTAGTGATTCAAAACAGTAAAACATATCACAGCGATGATATTGTCAGTGAAAGTTACTTTTTTTGCATTTTTCACACACAAACAGCACTTTTACTGATGATATAATTGTTGTGATACGTTTTCCAGTTTTTAAACACTAATATTTGTGTTCAGCGATGTCTCCCGAGTAAAACAGTACCCCCCATGTACAGGTTTTATAGCATTTTTGAAAGTTACAAGGTCAAATATATGGGTCAAATATTTTTACATTGAAAATGGCCAGGTTGGTTACGTTGCCTTTGAGAGCGTATGGTAGCCCAGGAATGAGAATTACCCCATGATGGCATACCATTTGCAAAAGAAGACAACCCAAGGTATTGCAAATGGGGTATGTCCAGTCTTTTTTAGTAACCACTTGGTCACAAACACTGGCCAAAATTAGCGTTCAATTTAGTTTTTTTACTTTTTTCACACACAAACAAATATGAATGCTTACTTTGGCCAGTGTTTTCGACTAAGTGGCTACTAAAAAAGACTGGACATACCCCATATTGAATACCCTGGGTTGTCTACTTTAAAAAAAATATGTACATGTGGGGTGTTATTCAGAGATTTATGACAGATAATAGTGTTACAATGTCACTATTGATAAATTTAAAAAATTTATGTTTTGAAACCGCAATATTCTACTTGTACCTATAGCCCTATAACATGCAAAAAAAAGCAAAAAAGCCCGTAAACACGGGGTATTTTTAAACTCAGGACAAAATTTTGAATCTATTTAGCAGTTTTTTTAATTCGCTTTTGTAGATGAGTAAAAGAT